CCTTCATACAACTCATTTACACATGTTCAAAAGGCCTCCTTTTTGTTTCTTCACTTTTCTTGTGATACAATGTAAAGATTTTGGTTTGGAGTTGAACAGCCATACTTTTAAAATCTCTGATATTTAAATTGCTGGTTAAAATGTGTAGATTTCTCTCAGGTGGCATATTTGTGCTCATCTGGCTAAACGAATAGCCCATCTATATATAATTTTTCTTCCCTTCTTAATCAGAATGTATTCCTGGGAGACCTATTTTGCAAGCTTGTCTACAGAGACTTCTATACAGAAGCAAGATGGAGCCTTTTCAGATTGCAGCTTCACAGTTGCCGTGTTATAACTATGAAACAAAAGTGAAACCAAGGCATTATAGTTTCTTGTTTTTATATATGACAACTTTTACTTGCTTTAGATGGCAAACTGCTGCTAAACTAGCATTTCTGTAAGTAGTACAGTGTCCATACAAGTGCCCCTGTAATGAAAGGGAACTTCTTTACCTGAGCTGGATGTGATTATGTCGGTAGGCACAAGCAGGTTGCATCAGCCATTATTACTCTCTCAGTGAACATGAAACTTACTGGTTGTGATATTGGTTCAGTCTCCATTTTTATGTCAATAGCTTCTTTAAAAAAAAAAAAGTTAACTACAACAATTAAGCTTCACAATAAACTAATTAAAAATGTAAATGGATTGTTAAGAACACTGTTGCCAAATGGTCTGTATATGTGTGGAGCCTAAGTTAAATGGATGGAAAGGCCAACGGGAATCTTGTTATAAAAATGGAGGATCACTCACTCCCTACAGTTCAGCTCTACCTTGAACACTTAGCTTTTGGCTCGACTGTGGGAAGGAGTCTAAAGTACTGGGTGACTTTCATACATGTCTAGATACAGTGAAGGGCAAAGTGCAGCATTTTTATCCTGTCATTCCCTTTTATCAATCTCAGTTATTAAGCAAGTGGTGGATATTAAGATCAACCCTGCCTTAAACATTTAATAGCCATTTCTTATCAGACAAACTACATGCATCCCATTATATTTCTTTCAGGGCCTGTCTCATTGGATGCATGCCAGACTATCCTCCAGGATATAGTCCAGCGAGTAGGAGAAGAAATGTGTTTGAACTTTGCATAATTGCAATGAACGTAAAGGTATAGTTGGAACTTTCTTGGAACACTCTCTTCTGTCTTGCTATCGTAGGCCAATATCTTGGTTCTTTGCAGTCAATTGCTTTGGAGCAATGTCATTGAGAAGAATGAGTCACTTCTGGCTCAGTTTAATGGGTTTATTGGGACTGAAAAAGCTATAGCTGGACTAAATGCCGTATCCATTGTTCATTTTATGTAGCTCTCGCTATCACGTACAGTGCCTGCCCACAAAGAGAAAATGAAGATGCATCGCTTCAGCTTTTATAAGAAAGATCTGTAACAGGTTTTGTCGTATCCATGAATAGAAAGTGGTTACAGATGTTGTTAGCTTTCTCTGCTCCCGTGGTTGTAATGTACCGTGGTTGCAACATTACATTACAACTGTGCCACTGCACAGTTTCCCCTTGTCCTCTTAATTTTAGATAGGCTGCATCCTCCTCAGTAATCTTTCAGGTTTATGACAATGGAGCATAAAATATAACCACTGAAATAGGGTGGATGATTATTTTGCACAATTTTGAATGACTACTCAAAGTGGGATTTGTGGGAGAGTAAGGTGTCATAGTTTTGTAGAACCGTGTGCCTCCCAAAATAGCTGTTCTGAGTGGGGTGGTCATTCAATTTTCCAAGTGTTGGGTATACTCTGGGAAAGATCAGGTGGACTGTTTTGAATTAATGAGGGAGGCTGGGGTCTCTGATATTGTTAATTATGTGTTGATGGAAAGCACAGTTGTCCATTGCGCTTTCTGAACTGTTTTAATATGAACAAAAGGCAATGAAGAATCATCACAGCAGAAGCTGTCACCCTTGTTCCCATGTGTGCTATACCTCTTCCATGGGGATCTCTTGTGGATACCAAATAGGAAAGCAAATGTAGTTGTCCTGATTATTTTTTTTCTTCAAGTGCTATCTCACATAATAAGCCTCTGTGGCTTCCTGCCCCACCCCACTTTTTGGTGCTTTTGATTTAGATATGATATTACTATGTCTTTTGAACCATGAATTTTAGCAGATTTTCTATTTGGACATAAAACCCCAGCTATGGAATGAATATTACATGGGGCAATATTGTGTTAGATAACAGCAGAATTTGAGTAGTTAATCTCATGTATTCAAAATGTGACCTTTTTTTTTCACAGTACAAAAAGAATCTCATTAGTTCATGAACATAGGCAATGCATGCAGTGTGTAGGGAGTTATTACATTTAACTATGAATTACTTGATCTTTAAGTAGTTCTTTTTTCTTAAGGTAAAAGGAGCAAGTAATTTCAGTACCCTATCTTGAATAACATTCTTTGTAATTATTTTTCACCACAATAGCCAGTGAAATGTAAGTAGTTTTTTTTAATTTCTCAGTGGCTCCTGAAATTATATATCTGTTTTCTCTCCTTTTGTTTGCTTTTAGGGAGAAACCAGAGCTGCTTCATCCATACTGTGGTTGGTCTCGGGAAAAGGATTGCATTGATGAATTCGTGCAACAACCCTCTCAGCCATGGAAGAATACATCTCACAAGAAAATCTATAGGTGACTAATAGGCCAGATTGGTCATCCCTCACCCACAGTGGTAAGCAGTCTTTTAAGATCTGGGAGAAACGTTTTGGTATACCTGGAAATCAGTCTACATCTAAATTAAATTAAATTAAGCATCTAAATACAGAATTTGGAATTTAACATGGTGTGCCTTATGAACAAGGACAAAAAAGAAAAAATAATTTCTGCTGTGGATATTTTAGTCTTGAATCATGCTTTTCCATCACATTTCAGCAATATGTCCTGTATCTCAATACCTTTGCTTTCATGTTTGTTCATTTTTCAAGTTTGTCAGTCATTGCACAATGTCATTTAGAATCAACTTAGCACCCTTCCATTGTGCTGAGTGGTGCCACTGAATAATGATTGCAGGATTAGCCTGCTACTAATTAAATGTTGCTGCCTCTTAGCTTGAAAACGAAACACCTCTATGGAATTTAAGAGTTCCTTGCTTTATTTAGGTTATGTGTCTAAATAGTATGGATAGGTGTACTGGGTCAGTGCAGACATCTTAAAAAAAGAAATTTTAAAAAACAAAAAGAAAAGAGAGAGCAAGGGAATAAGAAGAGAGCAAGAAAGTAAGAGAAGGAGAACAAATTCACCCAGTCATTAAAACTTCGAATTGCATGGAAAATTTTCCACACTTAGCTGAATTTTGAGTGTAATTTCCTAATCCTGCCTTTCTACAATCCAGGTAAAGGGTTCATGTCTGTACTCATTTTCACTCACAGATGGGTCTTCAAAATTTGCAGGTGATAAGTTGTGTAAAATAGGATGTATTGCGTATTTGTTGAAGCCTATAGGTGTACCTATTTCAGTAAAGCAGAAGCTAGGTTCCTTACTGTTCATGGACTAAAGGACCCATTGAATGCTTGCTTCTCATAACGGCTTTACTGCTATGCAGAGTTTTACCACTTGAATTCACTGATTAATGTCTTAAGCAGAATGAAGCCTTTATTCATTTTATTTTTTCCAAATCTGCTACCAAAAATCACAGCATATCACTGTTCAAAGACAGTTCTTTGTTTCTTCAAAGACTTTATTAAACTGATCTGTACCATCCTCCTCACAGGACTGTAGCTGTGTACCCTCCTATGAGACAAATTATGAGCTTCTGTCTGAAATAATAGGGATGATACCTACTCCTGAACTGACATGTGAAGGATTTTAAGTAAAGGTTACCGATGACAGGCCTGTAAGCTAGCCTCAGTTAGTTCTGTCTGTCCTGTGTTAGGATGAAGATGAAGGCGTTTGACTCTCTTAACAGATCCAGAGCCTGAGCTTTTTTCCTTGAGCTTTTGTTACATTTAAGGATTCATGCTGAATAACAATAATAAAAGATTAATCCCATCTGGTTTTCTGTTGTTTGTTAGTTTAATTTAGTGTATGACTACTCAAAGTTTAGTCTGCCAGCCAAGGAAGGCATGCAGTTATCAACATCACTGATAGGCTAAACCAATTATGTAAGCTTATTTTCAGATCTCCCCAAATCCCATAATACTTAACAAAGTAAAACTCTTGAGTTGAAATGCACCTGTTTACAGAAAGACACAGCACCAAATAGAGGTTTCATTTAGAGCTTTGGGTAGACTAAATGGCCTCATTGACTGATTCATTGCCTGTTGCCATTTTTAGGCATGAAATATAGCAGGAAACTGAAAAGAATCATGGACAAGAAAAACACAGTGTTGTAAGAAAGACTTTTGTGCTTAGAACGCTGCAGAGGCTCAAGCACTGAAAAGATCAGTATGTGCTGTGTTTGGGGGGTCTAGTTAGTGCTGCATCTTTGAGCTGTAACAGTATTTCTCAAACTGTCCTTAGCAGGACTCCAGATTAATCCCATGTGGGGAGAGGAAAGTGCCCATGGGGCTTGGCAGAAGTTGCTTGTCCTTTCCTCTTGAAGATATGCATTTGTTCCTGGGTAGTCTGGGAGGTGGCTTCTCCTTTCTCTCTGCATTTGTAGCCACCGTTGAAAACAGATAATTCCAAAAGACAGTCTAATATGCAATTGCAGACCCAAATGTCACTGTAGAGGGCTGAGAGTCTCTTCTGACACACAGCTAAATTGTACATGCACATGCAAGAGGTTTCACAAGCCCACTAAGGAACAGCCCAAACCAAGTTAGTTGGAGCTTACAAGGGATGAGTAGGGAGAGAACAAAATGCCAAGGGGCAAGAAGACGAAAAAGCACAAAGAACAGCGAGAAAGGAATTCAAAATGTAGAATCATGGAAAGTGTAAAATGGTATCATCGATGTCAGGCTGTGAAACAAGGGGGGCATTCTGTTATTGAATCACGTTGCAGGCCCCCATAAGTCTGCAACATGCAAAGTATGGAAGATGTTGTGCAAGGCAGGTGTGTAAAAAGGATGAGCAAACAGAGGAGGATCGTGAACAAAGAAAAATTGAGAAGAAAGTTTCTGAAAAAGGAAGAGGTCAGAGGAGAGAATAATGGCACAAAAGCTGGTATTGAAGAAAAAAGGTGAGGCAATAGAAGGAACGATGAAAGAAAGTATAGCCACTGATTTGATTTGCTGTTTTTCATTAGAAATTTATTGTTTTGCCACTTCTGGGTGCCATAGACATATATAAGAAAATACAAGCTTTTCAGCTTAACAGGGTGAAACTCCCTTCCAGAACCCTGGCATCAAAACCACCTGCAAAACCCAATAAAACAACCTTCAGTATTAAATCAATGTCAGTATTAAACAACATCCTGTGCCAAGCAGGGAGATGCCAGCCCAGCTGGATGAATACATGCCAGAGCACTTAGATGATAACTGGTATGATGAATCAAATTCTTAAGCAAATAGATACTTAGGCAAAGAGCAGAGCGACCAAATTCCATGGAGCACTACCCTGATATCTCCACTGAGTTGCAAAATATATGAGTCAGAGGTAGAAGACAGCCCTTGGCAGCATCTGTGGAGAGTACTATGAGCCCCACGTAAGCAAACCAGTGTGTTCTTACTTCCTGATGTTTCTGGGCCCTTTTCAGGTGTGCTTTCTAGCAGTACTCTGCCCCAATGTCTATGCGGCAGTCAACCAAGGTCTGCATCAATAAGAAAGGGTTCATTTACTAGAAGGGAACGGGTGCTGCAAGCAGGACATCAGGTGCTCAGGAGACAGCAACCCTCAGAGTCCAATCTCCTGTGGCAGAGTTGTGGTCCAGAGTCTGAGCTGCCATTATAAGAACAACAAGCAGGCCGGAACCTCAACTGGCATAGAGCCACAGAAGCTCAGCATATTAGCTTGAGCTCTGTCTTCTTTATCTCTTGTGGCACTGAAAATTTAAAAGATCCCCAGGATAAAACAGATGAAGTGCACTGAATTCACCAGCAACCTTAACTAAAAGCCTAAGCTGCTTAATTTATCCTTGGAACCATTTTACCATTGAGCTTTTTTTACCTTTCTTGTGGGTGCTGTCATAAATGGCCTGTGGGAACAAGTGGAATTGCCATTTCTGGATGTTTTCAAGAATATCACTATTGGGATTGAAATAAATGGAACTGAAGCAGAGGAACTGACTAGATCATCTCTTGGAGTCTCTTCCAAACTATTTTTTTTTTCTATGATTTTAGCAAATGCATTCAGTTACTCTCCTAAGCTTGCAGTGTTACACTGCTTCCACTAGGCTTGTGTAACAAAAGCCTCAACTACCAACCCCTCTGCTTCCTCCATGGCTACTCATGCAATACAAAATGCGGTATTGGCAGTTTTGCAGAAGGTTGGGAAATCCAGATCTGAACCATGGTGACATGTAAAGTAAAAAGTAAAGAAAGATATCAAAGTTAATAGGTAGCCAGCTTATTACAGTGTTTCACATCCTGCTCAAAATAATATTCTACTTCAAATTTGGGTGACAGTTGCCACAAAAACTCCACGTGCTCACAACAGTACTGAAATAAACTGGGCCTGGATTCTGAAGAAAGGAGCCAGAACAAGGTGCTAGATCTCCTCCTAGGAGTTTCCCAAAAGAGATTTAGCTCACCAGCGTTGGACATCTGCTCTCCAAGCATCCTATTATTCCTTCACATCCACCAAGTGCTGTTGACACTTCACCCTGCCTGTATCTGCTTGGCTTCTGCCTGTGATTGGAACCAACGTGAAACCTCTGGCTCCATTCCCCTCATAGAATCATAGGATCGTTTAGGTTGGAAAAGACCTTTAAGATCATCTGTTAACTGTTCATAAGTCCAACTGTTAACCTAGCACTGCCATCTCACCACTAAACCATGTCCCTAAGCACCTCATCTACCCATCTTTTAAATACCTCCACGGACGGTGACTTGACCACTTCCCTGGGCAGCCCGTTCCAATGCTTGACAACCTTTTCCGTGAAGGAATTTTTCCTAATGTCCAATCCAAACCTCCCCTGGCACAACTTGAGGCTATTTCCTCTTGTCCTATCGCCCATTACCTGGGAGAAAGAGACCAACACCCCCCTCGCTACAGCCTCCTTTCAGGCAGTTGTAGAGGGCCATAAGATCTCCCCTCAGCCTCCCTTTTCCAGACTAAACAACCCCAAGTTCCTCAGCCGCTCCTCATAAGACTTGTGCTCCAGATCCTTCACCAGCTTTGTTGCTCTTCTCTGGACATATTCCAGCAACGCAATGTCTTTCTGGACCCTCACTGTAGGATGTGAAAGCATAGGCCGTATGATGCAAAAACAAGAGGTAGAGCCATACATCAGCTGTTTCCCGGTGATTTACAGACCGGTAAGATCCATTACACCACCTGGTTACCTCCCTCCTGTAAGAAGAAATGTGTGTTAGCTGACCAGCTCTTTTAAACAGCTCCAGAATACCGTTTTCCTCTCTGCTTCTGTCTTTCTGACATCAGATTAAACCTGAGTATGGGTTCATTTGTCCCTCCTAGTGGTGCCACAGGTCCATCAGCAACTTACTTCTCCTTTGCCCTTTACTTCCTAAATCAAGAACTAATAAGGAGAAGAGTTTTCTAACACCACTTTAGGTGTGCTGCCAGCACATCAGAAATGGACTGGTTATATTGTCAGAAAAATACTGGTAGCTGACAAGTCCTGCAGAGAGATTAAATGCATGGGAGGACTGTGAGCAATATGAGAGAGACATGCTGCTATCGATAAGCTAAAATCAGTGTTTGCTCCCCAGCACTCTCGGTATCAGAAGAGTCAGTTGCAATGTCTCAGCTCACTGTTGTGCATTCCTGGTACCTGACCTTCTCCGCATGGCTGTTGTGCATCTGTTAGCCTGTGAGCTTCCCACTACATGGATCGGACACTGAGAAGTGGGAGGGGAAAGGAAGAGCAGAGGAACACAAGAAGGGAAATAAATACCTAAATTGGTTTTTCTGATTTTATACATAGGCTAAGGAAAAGGACACTGGCAGGAGCCGAATGATACCTGAACACTGCTGTGCTAATGTGACAGCTTTATGGGGAGGCAGTACTGGGTCAGAAGCCTGATTCCCCCTACCTTTGGTTCAAGAACTGTTACACAGGGGAAAGAAAGGTATTTTCAGAGTAAAAACCATGGTAGAGTGGTAGAGAACAGACCTGAAACCTTCCTTTGCCCTGTGACTGTGTAGTGTGATTATATAGCTAAAAAATATTGACCATTTCATATGAAATAAGGGCAGAAGAGGAAGGTAGATGAATCCCATGCAGCTCACTGCTTTCTGCAGGCTGCAGTCCACGCAGGCAATACCCTCACAGTCCCGCCAACAGTCCTGCGGCAGAGCAGGCATGTGGGCTCAGTACTGCAACACAAAACCCGAGCTCAGGCAGCTGTAACATTCCTCCTCCATCATTTGTGCCAGTTTTCCTCCACCCTCTGCCCTCTTACACCTGCCTGCAGCCACCGCAGCTTGTATTCTGCCTCCCTCCCATCCTTTGTCCTCCTGTCCCCTCACTTCCCAGAGCCTCCTTTGGCACATGCCTTCTGTGGCCTAGGGAGGAGAGAGACAGGAGCAGGAACCAGGAACCAGCAGAGTTCAACCTCAAAAACACGAGTTAGTAGGTCAGAATACTGGCCCGGGGTGGGCAGGACTGGGGAAGGCGAGTACAATTCAAGGTAATCTGTGCTCACGGCTTTTCCTAGGCTGCTCTGGTAGAGCGCTATAGCCCAAGCCAAAGGAAATTCTGCAGCTGATTTCACTAACAGGATAAAATCAGCCTCTATTGGCACAGGCAGAATTCAGCCCTGCAGGTATATGAATAATGTTTCCCTAACTGGCATCTGATATTGCTCCTTGCATTATGCCCCTATTAGCGGGAGACAAGCAGGGCCTTTCTGACCGTCCAGTGGTTCATGGTGTTCAAGACAAACTGTGAATACCCACTTAAGGGAGGAGGAGGAACAGGACAGAATGTGATACATGGGTGACAAATCATCATTCCGATCCCAGCTAGAAACCAGGCAGGGGTCCTGAGCCTGTTCATCCAGTTAAACCAAGTACAGATGCAGACACTCTGCTGCAGATGACATCACAGCAACAGATGACCTCAGCCTGCAACACGGGCAGCAGAAAGCCCTCCCTACACCTCCCTACCAAGCTGAAGTAGACCCACTTTTCGCACTGCTCTTACACCCAGCCGGGAGCCATGGGTTGCTACGCCTGCCATGCTGCCGGTTCAGTCGTACAGATTAAATATGCTCTTCTCAGACACAGAAGCTATTATTTCTTTGAGACAAAACAGCATCCCACACTCTTATTAACCTGTGCCCTACTTCAGAAGTAAATCTAATTTGCAGCTTTCATAGTTAGTGCTGGTGTTGCTGTGTCCCCATGTCTGCTCCGACTTTGCTGGATACATTTACGCAGCACCGTATGTGGCAGAGCCCTATTTACCATGGCCTGCAAGCGTTGTTCCTTACAACAGAATAAGGAATTGGGATGGTTGGAGCTTTTTGCTTCACTGGGGAAGAGAAAAGTAAAAGCACAAATGTTAAAAATGCCCCTGCAAAAACATTTTTTGTATTCAGCAGAGAATGACGTGCTGTCTGCTAAACGAAATTTGTCACCTGGGATATTCCTGCACATCTGGTCACCTTCCACAGAGCGTCTTGAGTCGTGCTGTATGAGTGAGGAGAGAGACTTTCAAAGGATTTGCTGGATTTCTGATGGCAAACATCAAACAAAACGGGCATTGTTTCACAAATACGCAAAGTAATAGGGAAAAGGAAGCGCAATCTTCAACGATGGCCAGCACAGAAAGCAGTATGTACAGTAATTTATGTGGTAGATTTATCTGTGGATTACGTTACCTAACAAGCAATGCAAGAAAGCAAAGGAAACCCAAACCCTTTTGTAACCAATGCTTGATATTTTCAATTATAGTCAGCAGAGTCTATTGACTTTTTTTAACGAATTAAACATAAAACCATGAAGATGCGTGGAGCGCGAGTGACTTTTCATGACCTTATTGTGGGCAGAAAAAAGGACAAGACCGTGCAATTTCAGTTCCTCGCGGGATTCAGTTCTGCTCTGTTGCTGTCCAAT